TGTGGAGCGAGGGAGGAGGAGAGGCTGTTGAATAGTTATCAGCAGGTTAGTGTTAGGAAAAAAAAAAACAGCTGTTGTCATTCAGTTGTGATTTGCTTGCTTCCCTCCACACACACACACACCCGCACGCACGCCAACCTATTACATTGGTGCATTTAGATTAGGGTATAAGATAGAAGTCCGCAATGACAAAGATTACACTCTACACACTCCAGCAGCTCCAATCTCAGGCCAGCACTCCTGCACAATCTCCTGCAGCCCTTGAACTTCTGACATCGCCAGCTAATCGAAGATCAAACCTTTAAATAACTAAAAGAGGCTTCTTTATTCTGTACAGTAAAATGATGAGTCATCATCAGACAGCTCGGGGGTGGGGAGGGGGGTGATGGGACGATAAGGCATGTCTACTGAGTGCCTGAACCTACACTGAGTAAAAGGTCCTGTGCAATAAATGAGGCCTCTCCAGCTAAAAAGACTATCTACATCGGTCAAAGTAAAAAGCCTGGAAAAAGCTTTCGCAAGATGGCCGCCTTTCTGACGCCTCAGTCAGTGTTTAAGAGGCCTCTCTCAAATAGACATCCTCCTCAGCTCAAGCTTTTATCATTGTCATGCGGCAACAACACTTCTCCTACACATTTTGTAGCATTTTGCCTACATAAACGACAGTGCATATATTAATCATACACAATGTACAAACAAAGCTTTCTGTGTGCGCCTCTCAGACCGTGAGTGAAAAGTAATGCCTTCTGGGAGATACTAGTGAGAGGCCGAAAAAGAAGTAAGTGCCTGGTGACTGTTATCATGTAACCTGAATAAAAGAAGTGGTCTAAAGGCTGCCGTGTTGTGAAGTGAGACGTCTATCCGTGACAGTGGGACATCCTGAATACAACAGCTTCATAAAGCACTGCCCATACTTGACATATGAAATAAATTTTACGAAGTTATAAAACATCTTCGACGGCATTCTTGTATCTAAACCAGCAGCAGCAGCGTCTCGAGCCTGCTGTAAATTTTTACTGCAGTTTTGGCTCATAAACGTGAAGAGAACACCGAGCAGCCTCGAAGCATGCCGGTCCGTCCTGGTGCTGCTGCGGCGTGAGGGCCGCATGCGAACTGGAGGACACATCCACTGGAGACCATTAAGGCACGTCCTTCCTCTCAGTATCTTCGGCTTCTGACGGAACGTATTGTTCACAGTAGCACAAGTTCAGGCCGTGTTTTCGTGTGTGTGCGTGTGTGTGTGTACACTTGATTTGTAATGTCTTGAAACATCAAATAAGGATCTTTCAGCTCTAAATGTGTCTTCGAGATCCAGTTTTTCCACAAGGAAGCAAATAAATGTATGAGCATGGAGTAAAATATTCTACAGAAAACAGAAAAAACAGGAGTTAAGGACTCAGTCTTTCTGGCTTGTTTGTTGAACTAAAAACAACCCTCCTGCTGCCACCAGGGGCAGGCAGGATACAACTACAGATACTAAAACAGTAGTGAAATATTATACCAACAGAAAATAAAGCAAGAAAAACTTAGTGATATTATAAGCAGTGTTATCATAATCAGCACTAACATCTTTGTTATTCACAATGTTATCAATATTATTGTTGTTCTTATACCCTGTTTTTTTCTATAAGAATATCTTATTATCATTCATGATTGTATTTCCCATAGCAAACAAGATCAGCTCTTTTGGCATTAGGGATGAGGAGGAGGGATCTGAGAGAAAAAGGAGAGAGGGGGAGAACAGAAGAGTGGGACGAGTGCAGGACGGAGAGAGATGGACAGGCCAGGCTGTCTCCTTCCAGAGAGAGAGAGAGAGAGAGGGAGAGAAGAGGAGAGAAGCACTAGTCATCTCCTGTGTAAACGTGACAATGTCTCCTTTTCTGCGGTGACACAGGGGCAGATGGGCAGTTCGCTCCTCTCTCCGCTCTTGCAGTCTTTCTTCATAAGCGCTCAGCGGGAGCTCTCAGACAGCCATCAAATCGCACCGGGCTCACATGTCCAATATCAAACTAAGATGAGGTGTCACCTCTTTGCGATAATAACCAAGTACATTGACTTCTGCCTCACTGGTGGATGAAATGATGGACTTGGAGTTGGAGTGCATTTGTGATGTTGAGGGGAATGTTAATTGACTGTGTTTGGACATAAAAGTAGAGTAGCTTTGGCCATTTCTGAGAGAGGGTTAAAATCACACACCTCCTCAGGCTGTCCTGATTTTTCTACCCAGATTTTCTTGCAAAAATCAAGATTTCTTTTCCCCTTTCTATTTCACAATCTCTACCTTTCAGTCTTTGCCTCCTCTAGCTCTCTCCTCTTTTACCTCATCTTGCTGTCCCAATATGGGCTAGGGTTGCAGTGTGTGTACAGTGTCTGTAAAATCATCCCTGATCTCCTAACACTATATGTCTCTATTCCTCCTCTCCTTCTCCCTTGCCAATGTCCGCTCCTCCTCCCCCTTTTTCTCTCACACATCAGACTCAATGCTGGAGAGTTTCTCATACACATGGCCATTGCTTCCATTGAAGGGACGCGGGGGGCCGACCCCCAGCATGGAGCCATGGTGGTTCATTCCACCAAGGCTGAGCTCTTTCGGGAACCGGGGGGCCACGTTGGACATCACCCCGGCCGTGGCGGACGCTGGCAGATATGACGCCGTGCTCATCTGGCTCCTGAAGTCACTTCGGCTGTTTTTGGCAACTTGTTGCTGCTGCTGTTGCTTTTTCATGTAATATTGTTTGGCTCCGTGCATCAGACACTGGTCGTCGCCAAAGGTGGGTATAAAGGGGTTTTGGTTTACCCGGTCAGGGTAAAGTGATTTGGATAAAGAGAACGCTCCCCCACCTCCTCCTTCCATCAAAGACCTATCCCTGTCTCTCATGTCTCTTTCTCCGATGGATCGCCGGTGGAGGCCCTCACCGCCTCTGAACAAGCCGAATGGTGAGCCGGATCCTTTCCGGCCCTCACCTCCGTAAAACAATGGGTCCCTGTCTCTTTCCCTTTCTCTCTCCGAGCCCCCGTGACGCTCAAATATGTGTGCGAAGGGGCTGGTGCCCTCCATGTAGCGTTCTTTCTCCTTCAAGCTAACACTTCTGGGTGGGGGCAGCATCCCTCCCATTCCTGCACCGCTCACCCCTCCACCTCCTCCTAGACCCCCCATCAAACTTCCCATCCCACCTGAATCCTCTTTCTGAAGGTCGACAAATGTGTCATATGAGTGCTGCCGCCTAAGTGGTTTGCCTAATCCTCCACCCTTCCTCCTCTGCTGGCCCTGAGGTTGAGACTGAGGGACTGCACCCATGCCACCTCCTCCTCCCCCACTTGACCCTCCCCCCATCTGTTCCAAGAGGTGGTTGTTGTCCTCGCTGATATCGTAGAGGTTTCCTGTCTTTTTACAGCCCTCGCAGCGCATGCAGGTCGCAGAGCTGGGGCGGCTGTTTCCTCCGCCTCCCGAGGACCCGCAGCTTATACCACCACCATACCCACCACCACCTCCTCCATGCATGGACATCTGCTTACCCCCTCCTCCCCCGCTAGCCCGACAGTTTCTGCACTCCCACTCTCCCCCTGCCAGTCCAGATCCTCCCCCGCTCTTTGAATCAGACTTTTTGGGTTTGCTCTTAAGAAAGTCATCCACCGGAACCAGGGTGGTGCAGGCCCCCACTACTCCATCTCTGTTCCCAGGGCCCTCTGTCAGGTCCACATGTTCCCACTGAGGGACACCCTCTTTGGGCCGAAACTGGTCCAAATAAAAATCCCTAACACTCTCCTTTTCTCTGAAGAGATAGTTCGCATCATTGTTTCCTCCTCCACCTCCTCCTCCTCTCTTACGTTCAGAGGGGAAAAGTGGTGGGGAGGTAGAGCGGTGGCCGTGGTAGTGGTGGTGGCTGATGTGGTACGGTTTCCTCCTGTAACCCAGCTCAATCTCGTCCAGCTCCCGTCTGGACTTGGCAGAGGCCGGCCTCTTTTTCAGGCTATCACGGTATTGTTTGCGCTTCTTGGCGTTACCCTCCAGGTTTCCATAAGTTACTGTGTGCGTGGAAATGTCAGAGACATCTGAACGTATATTCCCATCATCTTCACCTCTCCCTCCACAGTAATTATGCCCAGGGATGTATGTGGAACTCGAGGCACCACCCTTAAAGGAGAACTTCCCGTACAGGTCCGGCAGGCCTCCCTTAAAGCCCTGGCCTGAGGGAGGAGTCTGTCCAGACAGCAGGTCAAACTTGCTCATGTTCCTGTGGGTCAGTGCTGAGCAGGGCTGGGTGGTGAAAATAGGGGCCACCCCTCCACCCAGACTGTCACAGTCGAACATGCCGCCCTCCAGAGAACTAGCACTGCCCAAACTATGGGGCCTGTTGGGAGGAGGTCCGCTGAGCCCTAGTGTCGAGCCATGGTGGTGCAGGTAGTGGTCCTGGTACAGATTACTGTCCTTCAGGTGGATGTTGCCAAACGTCCTCTCCACCTCACTGATGTAGTCACTGAACATGTTGTCTTCTGGCAGGTAAGGTGGCTTGCAGTCTGAGTGGCCCGCCAAGCTGCGCCGGTGTTCTGAGATGTCATAAACAGAGGATTCACGGCGGATGAAGTCCAGAGCACTGTGTGGAGAGCCGTTTACCCCCGACAGGGAGGCCATGTTCTTGGCAGTGCGTAGGAGGCGCATGATGTTGGAATGGGTGTTGTTCATGGTGGCTGATGGGGAATTCAATGCTGAGCTGCTCTTCTCCTCAATCTGCACCCCGTGGATACAGCTGTAGATACCCTGTGAGGGGGGAAATATAGGCAGGAAGTGAACATTATGAACATTTGGTCATTTTAACCATTATTATTTAATAATTTCTGCTGATGCTGTCAATACCTTACTCTATTAATACAGTACAGTATATAGTAAGTAAACACAGACATACACGTTACAGGTATATGTAGACATTGACAATTAATAAATAGCGGACAAAGCTTTTGGGTCTGAGAAGTGAGGCCAATGTGGAAGTAACTTGAACCTGCCTTCTATCCAATGTCCAGCAGGGGGCAGCTCCATTTTTATCAAAAAGACCTGCGTTTGTATTCAGCTCTGTTGAAAATGACTTCGACTTCTCATTTGATTTAGTAGCTCAGTAAACGGTTTTCTAATGAGTTTATGGTTTCAGTCTCTAATTTCTACTCTTCTTCCATATAGCATGACATTTATTTAGTAAATTATGGTCCCATTTAGAGTAAAATATACGATAACGCAGAGTGTGCTTTTGCGGGCAGCTATCTTGTGACTTAAGTAATTCTCAGTGAGTCCTTCCAGCGCACCGCATGAAACTCAGATTAAACTGTCAAACTAGGCAGTGCTGATCAGATATGAATCAAGATTCTGTTAGTGTGTTGCCTATTTCTTGCCTGAACTGTTCTCTTATACGTACTTTAATGTACTGTTTATCTATAATACAATAAAGTGTGTGACCCCTACAGACAGGTTAAAACTATGAGAAACCAGTGAGCACAGCTCAATTTTGCAGTACGTCACTGTTGCTGGTAGCAAAAACCCAACATGGCGACACCCATAACGGCAACCTCAAAGCTTCAAAACGATACTCCACAAACCAATGGGGGACATCACGATAGAGTCACACTTATTTATGCAACATGTATTATATTAGCTGTTTGACAGTGTAAGTGAGCATACAGTATGACGATTCAGAGAGGATAGTGTAGCTGGATGATTGATAAAGCCAAAGGGGCTGTAAAAACCCCTGGGTCCCACTGGTCAATACCTTTTAATCAATGCAATTAGAATTTGGCTGAACGATAACCTCTGGCAGTTATTAAACACCTCTGTTTCACTACCCCTCAATGCCACAGGCTACGCCACAATCCCCTCCGAAGAGAAAGGCCAAGCCAAGGAGACATTGGCTGAGTGTTACAGTGACACAAAGATAGACTGCTTTGCATTCAGTGATGTACGATACAATATTAAGATAAAAATGGATGTACAGAGGAGAGCAGACCAGACATGACGGATGGGGACGGTAAAGGATCAGATCAATTCGAAACAATGATTATACTCAGTTTTTCTGGACGTTTGTAGATGAGTATGGAAATAAAGGGATGCTTTGGCCTACTGCTGGAGATAATAGATCAGCTGACCTCCGTCCTGCTCGCCACTGCTGAGGTCAGGACTGAGGTTAGGGGTCAGCCGGCTGTCAAATATTCTCTTCTGTTAAGCTTTGACTCCTCTTTTTATCCACTAATATGACTCTTTGACCCCCAGTTCTCCTTTCCCTAACCACTTGTTTCTGGTAGTTAATTAGCAGTGCCTGCAATGCACCAAGAAGGCCTTCATCCTTCATTCCCGTTTTATAGATAATGTTATTACTTCTTTCAATTTCACAGTCTGTTAACAGCCAAGTATGTAAAGCTTGACAGTGGCTAAAAGCAAGAGAGGTTAGCATAAATACAAAATGACTCAACAGTATTGCAGAAATATGGAATTTGGATGGAGTCTTGAAGTGGAGGACAAATGTATACGCCCACCTGCGTGATATTTCAACTTTTTTTTTCACTTAGAACCATCTTTCAATGTTTATCTGGTCCTTCTCTGTCTCATCTGTGTTTCTTTTTTTCCATCTGCCTGTTTATATAATTTGTCACCACTTCATCTCTTTTGTTTTTCTTCCTTTATTATCCTGATTACACCCCACCTGCTGCCAAATCTGTCACATCTCTCCCCCATGACATCTATGACATCATCCTGTCTTAGGTTGAATTTTGCAAAAGCGTTCACCTTAATTTTAGGATGATCTTCCCCAGTAGCTTTTCACCTGTATACCATAGACAGTGAGATTGTGTTGTACTGAGCAATGGTGTTTGAGGGTGACGTCGGGATGAATATTTGTGCCTTTTTAAGCTCTTTCTCTCTGGCACACGCACAAAAAAAAACAACCACGACCAGGAACAACAACTTAATACTGTAGTGCATCAGATCTTGGACATTTAACAAAGTGATTGCTACTTCTTATTCAACAGCAGATTTTGTCTACTCCACATGCCCACATAATGTAACAGTTGGCAGATTGCTGCCGGCCCATTGCTACAGTAGCTGATTATTTGGGCAGGATGTGTGAATAGCAATAACTGTGGCCTGAGGGTTCCTAAGAATTTTCAATCCACCGGGGGATCAGAGCAAAATCTATAAGTGATTACACTGGTACCAAGAGGCAGAAAATCAACAAATAGCTAGCTGCCCACTCTGTAAGACTGCATATAGAGTGCCTACTGTACATGCAGCAGCTCATAATTTGATACAGTCTGTGTGTGGTGTAAGTATATGGTGCTAAATGCAAATGAACTTAGCCATGATGTGATGTGAGGGCTGTTAAATGAGGAGTGATTAAACCTCTAATACATTTACTGTTCTAAAGTCATTAGAGGCTTTTTAAATCGATATAATTAATTTGTTTCAGTGTTGCAGGTGGGACCCGGAGGAGCAGGTAGCCGGGGGAGAGCCGCTTACAGAACTACCAAGCCCCTCGGAGGGAGGGAACGCTAACCGACCGTGAAGCCATGACCGAAGTCACGTGACTCACGCCGACCGTGACAGATGTCTCATTTTTTACACTGCCGAGCTTAAATGTTAATTGCAGCAATAACAATAAAGTTTATTGGATTATGCTGTGAAATTAAAAAAGCGGAATCAATCTGAGTGGCAGAGCAAGAAAAGAAAAAAGAAAAGAAGAAATGGCCGAGGCTGGAGAGTAAATGAGAAGGAGACAATGTGAGGCTGTGGTCGAGGATTGCAGAAAGATAATAAACTGTAATTTCCTCTGTTGTTGTTTCGCAATGCCCGAGCTCTGTGCTACATATGCAAATGAACCCTCTCAATGAATATTTCCCCTGAATATTTTAACATACTGAATCATCTGGCTGCATTTGTGGACACACAGAGTTCATTTATGTTGTCACATTGTAGCAAAGACAGAGGTAATTTCTGAAAATGAGAGCAATCACTGAATGTTATACAAAGCATAATTGCTTTCAGATCCAGTTCCCATACAAATTATAATGATGTAATAATGAAAAACAACACCAAGCAGCCTGTCTTTGGAAATGAGAAGTCAACTGACATTTTAACAACTGATCTTTTATGCTCCTTCTACACAAACAGACGCGGATACGCACACACAGCTATAAACAAGGCGACAGCAACAACGTAAAATTAACACCATACAAAATAATCAAAGTTGGGCACTGGAGCGTAATATTAGAGCAGAGAGGGGAAAATGTTATGTTGTGTTTTTTTTTCTTTTTTTCTAACGTAGCCTTGCTTTCTTGGCACAAGCAGCTCCGGTGCCACAGCAGCATATCAAATGGAGGGAGAGAACAGCAGTGTGTGGCTCTCTGCTGTAAATTAGCCACGTGGTTTAGCCTGCAGCGCTTCACCTTCAGAGGCACGCAGTGAATTACACCGAAGCCATGTCAAAACAATTGGAATGCAAATCAAATACCTCGGGGGTGACTTTGGTCTCCTGGGATCCAGTAATCTACCCTCTCCGGTTATGTGGCTGATTTTTGTTGAGTGAAATATTGATTTGGGCTCAACATTTTGTAAATATTTACCTTATGGACTTCAGGAAGGCCTAAGCATCAAAACAAAAGGAGCACGCACCTACATCGGTTTATACTTTGGAAGTGAGAGTTTGGGTTGGTTTGGGCATCTCTAAAGCCATGAAGAGTAAAGCACTTTCATTTCAGAGACACGCTGACGATGTAGGGACTTTACAAACTTTACAAACGAGAAGGGGTCGGTAACACAGGTTGGAAAGTTAAAACACATCTAGATGTTTTGTTAGTTTCTAGTTGTTGACTTTGGCTGCAATATCATGCATCATCCATCCTTTAATTCCTCATAGATTTCTCTATACCCTTACCCCTTCTGTCCCATCAGAACCACCTATTTCCCATCTTTCATCCCAACTGTGAGAGAATCTACCCAAACAATGTATGCTTAATGGCATAAGGAAGCATCATATTTTTCATTCATTGTTTTCATTTATACCTGTGAGAGAGTGCTGCCAATAATCAGGATGTATCTTTTGCTATCAGATGAGCATTAACTCATACTAAGAGGTAATGATAAATGCTAAAAAGTAGTGTAACAGTAGCACAAGAGTCATAGATTCAACCACTGGACTGAGTAATGTCAAGTACAGTACGTAGCAATATTATTCTAAAGTTTGCTAAAATCAGCTACAATTAGCCACCATAAGCTACTGGTCATACCAGACCAAGGGACTGGGACTTTTGAGTATACTGAACTGAGCCAGGGTGTGTTTCGTTGCTTGTGAATACAACTCTTCATTTGTGAGAGGAAGTATGTTTTCTTTCTTCTTTCAGAAGTTACAAAGTCTCAAAGCTGAAATCCTCAACTTTCCAGATATTGGCACCTTTTGTATTTGTGAGAGGCAAAGATAGCAGTTGTGGAAAGTTGACGTTTATTTATATCAGCCACTGCAGAGTTTGGAAGGTGCACCAGGCAGTGAAGTGCAATACTACTGGGCTTCTTTGATTTTGATGCTTGAATACACAGGCATGGTGTGAAATGTGTCAGCTCCAGAGTGTCTTTGTCAGAATTTATTGGCAATCTGAATCTATCAATCAGAATATTTATGAAAAAGTACAAGCCATGACAAGCTGATGGACATTTCTCAGTAGCGAATGTCTCCAAAAGTGAGTAGATAAGCTATTTTTCTCTCTTTTACCACATTAAAGGATACATTTATGATTTATTAATTAATTATGACAGCATTTTGGATATCAGCTCAGTCTAAGTCAGTCTGAGTGCAAACTGTAATTCCATTCTTCCCTTTTCCCCGCCCTGTCTCACCCTGCTGATGGAGAAGACGAAGCCGGGCTGGCCAGAGCAGACGCCCATGAAGCAGAAGCGCAGCTGCCAGTAGAACCAGTGTTCACAGATGAAGGTGATGAGTGACAGAGCCATGGCGGCACCAAGCATGTAGAAAACACCGGCCATGTTGTCCACATCCAGCTGGCTGGACATCACCTCGTTCTTCTCGTCCGGTGGCAGAATCCCCGTTCAGCCACATTTGGGGGACTCCAGCTCCTCCAATTTCACCTGGAAACGGAGGAATGTAAATGACACGGCAGAAGAAAGAGAAGGGCGGGGAGAGTGGTAAAGAGGTGGAAATGATGGAGGAAAACAGATGGTATGACAAGGGAAGGGAGGCAGGAGGAGGATGATGAGAGGGTCAGAAGGGAGATGGTAAAGGAGTTGGATTGGAGGCAGCAACAAGGAAAGTTAGGATGGGGAGCAAGGAGGGAGGGAGATACTGTGCGGATGGACAGAAGAAGAGAAGGAGACAGACCAGGGGATGGGGCATATTGGACGACACATGGAGGAAGTGTTTTATAATTCGATACGGGAATTCAAATAAAAAGAGAGGGGATGCAA